TCGTGGAGTTCTTTGGGCTGAACCTGACATCAATCTCTCCAAGGAAATGCTTATCTCCCCAAGCGCGGCCTTCACTAAACCATTCCATCACAGAAAGAGAATTCAACATTTGCATGTTGACAAGAAAACTTATACATCGCATAATATCCGAGACTGAATACAAGTCATTCAGTGCATGTAGTTTTGTACTGGAAGGTTGCTTTGTCAGTAATTGTTTGGAGCACAGCAGTGTTTATTTAAATGGATTTGAATATCTGTCTGTAGAGGGGATTCAAGAGTAGCAGTTTGTGTTCATATCACACAGCAAACATTTTACAACCTTTTCTTGAGAGCTACACTGAAACTAATTAAATGAGATAAGTCATCTATTACAGAAACTACTTGCTCACATTCAGACTTAGTCATTCCTACCTTTGCCTGGATTTTTTTTCTCCTTGAAAAAAAACAACAGTATTTCTTACCATTCAACTGCTCCAGAAAAATATGTGTACCAAATGTGTTTTGTGTTATGCCTAACTATTCCATTTTTACATACATTAATCTTGCAAGCAACATGCTGTAATATGGCACTTATATAGGGCAAATAGACTTTGGTTACAAATTGGGAAATTGGTTTTCTATTCTATCCAGCACAATCAAATAAGTCATTTAATGTTACTTCTGTTTGTATACTTCTGTATACTTCTTATACATTTGCTTTACATTACTTTCTGCCTATTTGCAATTTGTCATTTTCATTTTCAGGTAGTCTTATTTTAAAAGGACATATTTTGGCCAATATTCTTTTCCTAGGGCAGGTGGCAGGCATCCTTTACATTAAAAAAATGCATATTTTTGTAGATTTTCTTCCTAGAATAAGCACTTCTGTCAAATGATGTTTCAGTAGTATAATGTGGATTCTAGTATAGTAAGTGCATTCTGGTTCATGCAGGCTTAAAAAATGCAAATTCCATTAGTTGATGTAAAAATGTTTACCAAACAGAATATAATAGAATAAATTTCTCTTCTATTCCTAGTAGAAAAATAATAAATATAAATAGACAGAAAGTATAACTAATTAGCATCCAGCCATATTTTAGAAATAAGGAACAGCGGGTAAGAAACATACTAGTTCATAGTTCAATCTGTAAATGCTTTGACATACAATAAGTTGAAACAAAAAAAATCAGTTTTCTAGAGGAATAACCAAGTTCTTCAATTTCTATATGTCTCTCTGCCTCTACTGCTAAAAACAAGAGGGCATTCATATTGACCTGGTGAATTGGAAAAATTAGCTGACATTCAAGCTAAAGTGAAGCTGATTATGATCATTAGGGTGATGATGGTGATTACCTGAGAGAAATAGGTGGGATTCATATACTAGGAGAAGGTGGCTAAGTCACAAATGGATCGCAAGTATAAAATGGTCTGTGTGAATTTAGACATTGCAGCATCCTTGTTTTCTACTTGTCTTCTTCCTTTAAATATATATTTTTTCATCTTTGCTGCAGGGACTAACATTTGAGGAAGTGGAGAACTTTTTTACTTTCCTGAAAAACATAAATGATGTTGATACAGCTTTAAGTTTCTATCACATGGCTGGAGCATCTCTTGATAAAGGTAATGAACATTTTTCCACCTAATTTTTTTTTCAAGAGAAAATAAAAAAGCTTTCTTTTAAATAACTTTATCAGATATTTTAGAAAGTACATGTTTTGTGATATTTAGAGTCTTAAAAAAAACCTTCTGAAATCATTCTTAGCTTTATTATAAAACAGTTCAGCAATAGGACATTTACAATCTATGACCACATATCCATCTGATTCTGACCATTCCCAGGTAGTGATTGTTCACAATAAATAATATAAATGAACATTAAAACTCTCTGTCTACAGAAACAACATATCTGGGCATTCATAGACAACTTATATTGCTAATGTGCTAGTTTTCTGTATCCAGGGAATTTTGTATATATGGGATAACATTATAAACTTAGCTTAGAAAATGGATGGATGGACGGACGGACGGACGGACAGACAGACAGACAGACAGGCTCTTTTTATTGTACTCTTAATTGTTTGGTTTTAGCCAGTGTAAGTTTAAAATAATGCAATCTAGAAAGTGACTCAAGCATATTAATTGGCTGGTGATGAATACTCCAGAGCAGTGGTTTCTTAACCATAATCCAGGTTAAGAAAAATGCTTTAGGAAGAATCCTCTTAATTTAATTTCTAATGTTTTGATACTTGTCACTGTCTTGGTTCTACCCCCATCTTCAGCATCTCTGCTCAAATTGGCAAACAGGATCACTGCAATTGCATTCAGTTCTTGGTTATTTTGTGAACACTCCCTAAAGTATTCATTCCCTGGTGCTCTTTAAGTTAAGTTAAGGTGGACTGCATTTGAAAAGGATGTATACTTTCATCACAGCACTTGGTATTGAATATTTATTTATTTATTAGATTTATATCCCATCTTTTGTACACTAGCTCAAGGCAGTATTCATAACTCTCCATCCTCCTTTTTCCCCTACAACATCAACCCTATGAGATAGGATGGTGGTTGGCACAGAGACACTATGAGCTTCCATGGGTGAAGGTGGACTTGAACCTGGGTCTTCCCAATCCCAGTCCAACCCCTTAACCACACTGCCTATTGTCTGTCCTAATTTTGTGTTCTTTTCCAGTCAGCATCCTATACTGGCATACCAAATGCGCACAATGTTTGCAATGAACTTCATGCATTTGTGATATTGTATGAAGCTTGTTGTTATTCAGTTGTTAAGTCATGTCCGACTCTTCATGACCCCATGAACCATATCGCGCCAGGCCTTCTTGTCCTTCACTGCC